TCTGCGGCCCCGGCTTGAAAATATCCCTTTGGTCTGTTGGGGTCAGCTGTCCCAGCTGTGTCCCCTCCCAACCTCTTGTGCACCCCCAGCCTACTCGCTGGTGGGGTGGTGCGAGAAGCAGAAAAGGCCTTGACTCTGTGTACGCACTGCTCAGCAATAATGAAAACATCCCTGTATTATCAACACTGTTTCAAGCACAAATCCATGCAAGCTAATATGGAAAAAATTAACTCTGTCCCAGCCAAAACAAGTGCATTCTGAAAAGCATGAAGTCTACTCTTAACTTGTGCTTTACCACATCTCTTTTTTCTGTCAGTAGCCTGTAACTCTTCTAATTAGCTCTTCTGCAGCTGTAGCAAGACACTTGGTGCCAGAAGCGTTCCTCCAAACTCGTCTTTGCAACATCTTCCTGCTTTCTCCCTTTCTGTCAACAAGCTTTGAGCTTTGTTTCTTTACTGTGGCTGCCTGCTCAACCTACCACCTTGGACCTGTGTTTACACCACCAGGCAGCAAACCCCAGGCAGGTTTGCCCCTGTTTGGCAATGCTCTCCCCCAGAGCTTTTGCTCTGCCTTTCTAATGTCTTTGAAATTGCAGTCCTCAGGACAGTGGTCATTGAGCCGGCTTCTCAACCCATGCAAGTTAATGGGAATCCTGGTGCTAACTAGAAAGATTTGACCCATGTAATTTTTTATTTACAGTGTCAAAATTGTTGTGTTGCACTGTCAATCTGTCCATGTCAATTATGCTTCCTCCCCAGATATTTAGCAGGAACCTATGCTGCTATGATGAAGGGTAACACCTCTCACATGTTCTTTAAAAGAGTAAGAGTAAAACTGAATTAAATTTGCTAAAACATTAGAGAGACTGACCCTTCTAGAACATAAACAGAGGTCTAGAGCCACTACTGACTTTTAGCCACAGGAACTGTTGTGCTGGACACTGAAGTTCTACCCCTTCAATTTCAATAAACTACCCCTGTAATAAAAACACTGACAACAACTGTCATTTGTCAGAGAAAATTAGGAGAAAATTTTGGTTCCGACCTGTCCAACTTAATTAATTGCCTAATGCTAATTTATAGGTTCCAGTATGGATAGAAGTAACCTTCTGCCTTGGTTGATAGGCTATCAAAGAGAAGCTCTTTTATTAATGGCCAGACCTCTAATGAGCTGACACTATCATATTAGAGCAAGAATTTTTATAAACCTCTCTCCAAGATCTAACTGTCCCATTTTGAGAGCTATCCTTTAAAGATTTGTTTAAAATACAAAGTCCTTACTGGCAGGCAGAGGTACTGCCAGAAGCAGGGCTGGATTTTGAAATAGCAGTTATTTGGTGCAGCTAGTTTCTAGCTGCTTCAGTATATATAAAGCTCTACATATGTTAATACAAATAATATAGTTTTTCATCAGGCATGATGCAGTCCTACTGCCTTGTGTATTAAGAATAAGCCAAGTGAATGCCAGGTGATTCAATTAGAATTCAACTAAAACCATGTCAAGTAGTTAGACAGACCACCTATAATTGCTGCAGAAATGATTAAAAAAATAAATCCATAAAGATCATATTGTTATATGAATTTGTATATTCTCTTAGCATTGAGCATGTTAACTCGTACTGATTGTGATCTGTGACTATCATCACCACCACACCCATATTAGTCACATGCAAAGACAATTCAAAAGTAACTATGAAAATCACCCACTTCCTCCTTCCTATGACATTTATAAGGCTCAGTCAATTATTTCTTTTCTGTAGCTTGTAACCCAAATTTAGGGTAAATGAAACCACATGAGGACTAAGATACAGCTATCCCAGCTAGTAACCCTGCTGTCTCCACTGGTTCCCATGATATGATTAATTTTGAATTGCTAGCACCCATGAGAACAGGTAAACTTTGCATTCTTTTAAGAAAAATAATTTGTAGGAAAAGAGACTATTTTACATTGAAATGTTTATGGGAGCAAGCATGTACTTATCCTGATGTTTTCTATCTGATTGTAAAATAGGCTCATATTTCCTTAGGAGAAAAAAAAAAAAGATAATTTTCTTTGTGAACAGTTACATAAGAGTAGCTTCATGCAACACAAGATATATGTGCCTTTTAGTCAAAAAAATATCATCTTTCCTGTTTTGATTTGGGATTGGCTTCATTAGGCTTTGATGGAGAAGCTAAGCTGAGTTACAAGTGATTTCTAGTTTGGATTTCTCTGGTTAGTTCATCTGAATGAAGATTGTTTTAGCTGTCATAGATCAGAAGACAAATAGTTCTTGGCATGCTACAAGTCACAGCTGTTTTCATCCCTAACTCGGTATCTCTGAAAACTATAACTTTGGTGTCTGAGTTCTTGCTTTAGACTCGTACTAGATTAAAAAAAATATATTTCAGAATTATTTTAGGGAGCAAACTATTCCTACTTAAATTTAAGCTTCAGAGCTTCTAGGCTTTGTGTGTGAATCACAGTTGCTTTAGAAACAAGCCAGGGAAGTAAATCAAAACTTGACAGCAACATTCAGAGATTTTTTTTTTTTTTTTTTTTTGAGATAAACTTGGAATCTATCCATACTGGTTATATACTATTGTGCATCTGTTTTGGGAGGTAGGAGTTCTCATATACTAAATAGATCTGAAGAGGTAAAATTTTAGTAGTTATATGGACAGATGGAAACAAACAGCAGAGCCTATATCTCAACAAATGTCATCAGAGGCATTGAGAGCTCTATTTGGAGAAGCAGGCCTGATTTATCACTGCCTTGTAACATGTGTATGCATTTGCGTTTGTGCAAAATAAATGTAGAATACTTCTCATTCTTGGTTGGGAGTATTTTGAACAGGTGTTAGTGATCTTAATGAGCTCCACAAAATGGAGAAACTGATCTGGGAAGTCTGCAGACTTTTCTGTGGTTAAGGTAGCAGGAGCATTATAAAGCACTGTGAGTTTGGCTCTTCCTAATTTCTTTTCAAGCTGGTGATTCCTTTTGGTTGATATGAGAGAACCCATCAGCTGTGCCACTGCCTGTTATGATGCATTGTAGCTATGGTGCAATACCTGGCTAGAGAAACAGTTCTGGTTTAGGTTGCTTTTGGATTGCTTTTTTTCTTGGCTAATACATTCAACTGACTTTCTTTTAAAATTTGCATTTCTAACTTAAATGTAGTAGCATTACTTATTTTTATAATTAACTTTATCTGAATTTCAAGCAAAAATAACAAGAAATGTAATAATGATTAGGTACTGTTAACCTTTTTTAAAAAAAAAAAAATCCTTCTCTTTATCTCTACTTGCAGTTTTTCACTTGTTGCCTAATTAAAGTATCAGATTATTCTAACAAAATTATTTCCTTGATCTGTTATTTTAATTCTGCTGAAAACGTTAGCTTTCCTGTGTATTTAAACTTTTATCTTTAATGTACAGATAGAGTTGCACATGCTGTATTGGATTCATATAATTTAATAAGTAATATAATTCTGGGGGAAAATCGTGTTCACCCCCAAATGTACTAATTAAATAAACAGATTTAGTTCCTGAGTGTTGCTAAATTGAAATGTTGATATAGCTCTTTGATTTTTTTGATGCTCTTTGATCCTATATGTAATGTCACAAAAGTGGCAGGTGACATAAGAAATTTTAGTAGTGAAGTGTGGAATTCAAAGCAAGAGTCTTACCAGTTTGCTAATTACAGTGGAGGAGAAGAGAAGTATACCTGTAACTTAAGCTGCTCTACTCAGGCGTACTCAAAAAAGTCAAGTATGCCTGGTGCAGACAGAAGAGAGATGCAAGAGAAGCAACTTTTGAACCACGTGGCTGACAAGGAGCAAAGACCATTATCTGAGAGAAGCAATCGTGCTGGAAACCTATCTCAACCTGAGAAGAAGCTCCAAGAGGCTATTTGTGTGCTGCTGGTGGAGCTGTGCGAGCGATTCACGTTCTTTGGCATTGTCTGCAACATGATCCTCTTCTGCACTGTCAAACTTGGCTATCGCAACTACCAGGCAGCTATTGTCAATATGTGCTTTGTAGGCACCTCCATGTTGACTCCAGTACTTGTTGGCTGGCTTGCCGAATGCCTTGTGGGGAGGATCAAGCTTGTGTGCATCTGCATGTTTCTACACTTCCTAGGTAGGTGACACCCTGGGGGCTGTTTCATGTTTTAGTAATTCTGTTGCAGAAATGCATTATTGAGCATTGTGTTTGAAATCTGACAACTTTCTCCAACCTTGTGGCCACCTTCTCTAACAGCTGCTTAGTTTCTCCTCTACAAAATGCACTGCAGTATTTTTGCCTATGTACTTTTGTGAGGGAGTGCTTTGAACCAGATTAAGGAACATTTGCACGTGCATCTTGTGGATAGCTGGTGCACAAACTTGACTCCTCTAAAGCGGCTTAGCTATTCAGAACACAGATGCTCAACTCTTAAGATCGGTCCCTCTAACAAGCATCTAAGGTTATAAGTGTTTGGGGCAAATGTGAGGCTTTAGTCAAAGAGATGGTTTGAGAGAAAGTTTGGAAACTGTTTCCCAGCTGTTGGTGGTAAGATTTTATTGTATGTAAAGGTATATGACTGTTGTATTTGGACAAGAGGGAAAGATGTATTTAAGCACGTACCAGTATAAACAAATTTTGCCTTCATTAGAGAGGCTGTATTGTAATACCTGTATTGAAAGCCTGCTTTCTGTTAGCACATTCTGAATCTTCCCCACATGTTATTCTGGAGATCCTTTACATAAAAACACTGTTCAAACTAAGTATGACTGTTCTGGAGCAATTGGTGCATCTTACAGCTGGTGGTTATTCTGTCAACTTAAAAAGTATTTCTCTCAGCCTGGTTTATTGGACCAGTTGTTGAGCATAAGCAAGTCTGATTTCTGCAATAGCCATCCAAATTGTTACTTAGACATGCAACAAAGTAAGGAAAAAATCAGAGTCATTCCTGAAATGTTCTTGAGCTGATTGCAAAACCATTGTGCAAGCAGCCTGGAAAAATGATGGCTGTTATGTTCCACTGTTTCTCCCATGGGCTTCTAGTTTGGCATCTCTTTCTGGCACTTGTTCTTTCAATGCATATCTTAAAGTAGAAGACTGGTGACACAAACAGAATTTGATGTATTCAGGTATTGTTTTAACCAGAACTTTTTTTTTTTTTTTTTTTTTTGGGGGGGGGCATAAATCATTAAACATTCCTGATGTATTAGGGTTCGATGCACGGTCATAGTCTTAATCATGGCTAATGTTGGTGGTGTTGACACAACAATATATTTTGAGTTTATTCCCCAATTACGACTTGGAGGATCTGTAGCTGATTAAATCTGAAAGACTTACTTTACAGACTAGAGGTGGTAAATGCAATTCATCACATTGCTTCTATAGGTAAAGTTTCTGAAAATCATGTATTTTCCATGAAGATGCAGCAGAAAAAAAAGAAAAATTTCCACAAAAATTTTGAGAATTTACTTGTTAAATTATGATTCTCATTACAATTCTGGGATTTAAAGAAGATGCAAAAAAGGCTACACTCCACCATGGGGTGGTTTTTTTGTTGTTGTTGTTGATCAGTGGTTCATCGGGTGAAGTTACATATTTTAACTTGGGCCCTTTGGCAAGTGGAGAGCTACTGCTCTCTATGCTCAGGCAATGGGGAAGGCCAGTGAGAGGAGCTATGTTTCCAGAGATCTTCAGTTGATTGAAGAACCTGAATCCTTACAAGCATTTCAGAAGAAGATTGCTTTCCTGGAGGACCTTAGTGGTCTTGCCTTACTATATATAGCAACATCCAGAAAGGTTCTGCCTCTCTGCAGAATTAAAACTCTCCCTCTTTGCACTCCTCTGTTGTGTATCTTTGATTTTTCATCTGTCTTTTCAACATAACATGCTTAAAAAATATGTCTTATTCATCAATCTGATTCTAATCCATTTCAAATGACAATTTTCTTTCCAATTCCAGGCACAGCCCTATTACCTGTTGTGGCATTCCCCTTTGAAGATATTTACATTGACAGACGACATGTTCTTCATACGCTAACCAAAAGGGAGCAGAAAATAGTATTCTACTTTGCACTACTCACAGCTAGTCTGGGAATAGGAGGGATAAGAGCTATAGTTTGTCCATTAAGTGCATACAACCTTGAGGACTGTGGACCGAAGGAACTTCTTTCTTTTTTCAACTGGTTGGTAACAATGTCAGATAAATATCTGTTGGGGATGATAGAGCATTGCCTTGAAATTCACTGCTGACTTACTAAGCAGATTCTACAGATGGTGGGTTTCATGTTTTGTTTTTAACTGCAAAACATTTAGATTTTGGAATAGTTTCCAAGAATTTCTGTAAAACCTTTTCTTAAATTTTTCCTTTTGCTAGGACCAGTAGGTGGTCATCTCTTTCAGCCTCCTGTAGAAATCTTCAGTCAGGATTAGGATGAACTGATTTGCCCAAATGCTCACAGACTTGATAGCCTAGCTGTTGTTAGAACAACATATTCCATTTGGTTTTCTACCTTTTACATGTCTATCCCTTTAGGATATTTTGCTGTTACTCCCTAACTAACAGTGGCAAAATTCAATGATATATTAGAATTTACAGTAGAGTAAATATTTAGCAATGACAGGCAGCAGTAGAGTCTGCTAATTTCTTGGGACTAGGGATTGCTGGTAGTCTCTAACTACTAAGCTCAGTGGCAAGGATCTGCTGTATTGTTTCAGTTCTGTTGCTGTGAAGTTTTGGTGTCAGATAAACCACTTGAGGTTTGTGTATCGTCTTGAATATTTTAAAGTTTTTAAGAAAACTTTGAGGAGAAATTGTTCCTAAGATGGTTCTTAAAATTCAAAAATTTTTTATATTAACTATTTGCCTCTCTCAGTGTGTCAGAGAGGTCATTTTTTATGATACGTTTGCCTTTATTTACCACTTCTGTAGCACTATACAGAGTGCTATATACATTCACCTGTACCCTCTGGTTAAACTGTGGAGTATGGATCAAACAAGTCACAGTGGGAACCTCCAGATTCCTGCTTTGAGGCAGGGTGAAATAAGTCCTAAACTGCCCCCTTTTCTCTTCTTTCCTTGTGCATGCACAGTTATTAAAATCAGAACTGAGCACATTTGCATATTGACAATGCAATGCTGAAGAATCAATTAAGATCTTAGTGAATCAGCTCTCTCTTCCTTTGGGAATGGCTTTCCTGGCTATTCCTTTTTCCTCCAATTATGTTAATATCAGAGAGTTTTGAATTAAATCCAAACTTCAATGAATAAGGCAGCTTTAGCAAAGGTGGATGAGACTGTTTAGTTCCTTAGAGCAGATTCTGCTTCCTTGACCTGCCCATAGGAGAAAAGAAAAAAATATATCCTTCCTTTTTACTCTATTCTGAGTTTTAATCCTTAATTAGCAACATCATTTTGATTAAATAAGACTCTGGGGGATTAAGACTGGAGAGCAATCAGTTGTTCTGAAAGATAGCTCTGGAGAATTTATTGTACTGTGGTCTTAACCATTCAGAATTGTGTTTAATCAAAGTGACATTTCTCAGTGTTGATTACAAAGGAGACAAAATACGAATAAAAAGTTCCTTGGGGGGAATCCAAATGGGTCAGTTCTTGGGACTTTGGAAATACCAAGAAAGGCACATGTGCGATTAAAAAATTAATAATTTTTGCAGTGGCATCCAAAGAGGGGCTATTTTATTGCAATTTCAAGATTTAAAAAATTCTTAACATTCTTAATCTCATTAAAACCTCTTGGAATATAATCGTTTTCTCTTGGTAGGTGCTTGTCACAGGGCTGAATTTTAAAATAATACAAAATGAGATGATTGCATACTCTTGGTGAGTGAGAGTCTGTGTTCTTAGCCAAGTTCTATTTAAACAATCAGAATTATTGGGTTAAAGATTGGGTTAAAAGACCCTGTAAATACCTGCTGTCTAATTCAATCCTTGAAGAAGATTGCTTTGCACATCTAGGGCCTGGTTCTAACCCCTAGTATGAACTATGAGTCTGGTATTTTAAATAAACAGAGTATACCAATGCTAAGTGAAGAAGGGACTTGGATTCTGCTGGACTGTTTCTCTAAGGATGTCTGCTTTTCTGAGGTTAAGGTTGTGGACTGGTACTATTTTTGCAGCAGGAGAAATAAATTCTGTCTATGGGAGCAGAGAATGAGAGCAAAGGGTACAATCCAGACTAGGGATGAGAGTTAGCAGTGTTGTGTCTTGTCTTACTGATCTGCCAAAAAAAAAAAAAAAAAAAAAAAAAAAAAAAAAAAAAAAAAAAAAAAAAAAAAAAAAAAAAAAAAAAAAAAAAAAAAAAGCAGAGAACATGGAAACAGTAATATTTTCCCTTTCCCTTCCCCTCTACAGCAGATCAGTTTCTGCTGTTATCCTGGATGCACTTTACTTTGACTTTTTAATATGTTTTTCTACCCCTTTGGGGTTTTTATTCCCCCACCTTGTCTTTGCAGAGAACTCCATAGTGACTCTGAAAAAAATGACCTCCTCCTACAAAGCTGTAGTACAGAAAAATATATAGCTTGGATACTGGTCCATACATGGAATATCTGGGTCTGAGTTTAGATAAATCAAAACTTAAATTATGAGAACTAGACATGCTTAAAAAATAAAAGCAAATAATATTTCAAGTGACAGGAAATCTACTGAGTCTTCAAAATTAATCTTAAAAAGTGACAAAAGGTCAATTTTAGAATATTTTCATATATTTTACTTGATATCAGATTGTTTCATTGAGCAGCTTCATCTCAATTGTTACATTAAGTAAAAGCTTTCTGAGTAATGTATGAACAAACTATTTTTAAACACTTTTAAATGGATGTTACTGGATGTTACTTCTTTAAAGTTATAACATTTTACAGAAATGTATTCATTGTGATAAGATTATTAAGTTTTTATGGGCATGTCACAATAACATTTAGGTTTGCATCTGGACTGCATTCTTGAAATTAACTTCTCAAGTTGGCATTTGGCTCTCATTGTGTGGAGACCTCAGAGTGCTGAAGCTCCAGGAATGAGCTGTTCCCTGCAAAGTTTGACATGATATTCAGTTTGCTGTAGTTAACTAATTCAGCTGTGCCCTACTGGGATCTCTGAGGCACTTTATGTAATGCAAGTCCAAATATTGCAATATTAGATAACTATGGTATATGAGAGCTAGCAAGATGTGTTTCTGTTAGTGTAGGTTCTGATCAGCTGCTGTCACTATGATTTGAGCAAATCACAAAATTCTGATGTGTGCGTTGAGGTTAGTTTATCTTTCTTGTTTGGTCCATAGGGATTGCTAAAACACATTGGGGTTGGGTTTGTTTTTCTTTTTTTTCCTCATTTCTGCAAGAGGACGGGAGCTTTACATTTCAGTCTTACATTTCTTTGCTATATGGTGGTGAAAAACAAAAGCACTCTCCTGTACTCAAGGGTTTTCTTTGAAGGTTCCTACTTCCAGTGAAACAGTCGTAGAGTCATGAAAAGTGTCAGGACTTCAGGTAGCTCAGGCACATTTAGAAACTTTAGAAAGTTAGGAAAACAGCCACTGAAACTTCTAACTTTAAAATTGTCAGTTAGGAATTGTTTCAAAACTTCTACACAAGTTCCAGCTGACCCAGTTGTGTAACTGTATATATATTTTTTTTTTAAAGCTTTAGTTGAACAGGGGTCAATGTGTATGTACAAAATCCCTCCAACTATACCATCATCACAGAATAACATAATTCCAAAGTGCCTAGAGACTGCTTTCAGTGGAGTGGAAAAGTCCATGATTCTGATGAGTATCATCTCCTGAAAATGTAAATTACTTAAAGGAAACAGTAACTAGTTTGGAACTTCAGACATGTTTTGGTGTGACTTCAGAGAAATGCATGAAGCAGGAGACCTCACTGCTGTCCATGTCCTTGCTGCTTCCAGGAGAGCTGCTGCTGTGTGGCTCTTGGCAGCACAAGTGTTTGCCCTGGTGGAGTACATAATTTTTCTTCTGCCACTTGCCCTGGGTCCTGTGAGGCAAGCTGCATAGGCATGTTCCCATGCCTGTTGCTGCACAGCCCTGTGGTCATCTCCAATCCCTTAGCAGTGTGAGAGAGTGTTGTCTTTGTAACTGCGCAGACCTGAGTAGCATTACCAAGGTCCCTACTTCTGACATGATAAAGGTTTTGCTTTCTTGGCACTAGGTAGATGTGATGTAATGGGCAATGTCAGAACAAGTGGAGGGAGCACAGCAGGCACTTCAATACTTGCAATATCACTGTGGTTTGTCTTGGCAGTTATGGCAGGCCATCTAGAAGTCATTTTAAAGGAATGAAATGGGGTTGAGGAAGTCTCCTAAGTGTCAAGAGAGACATGCAATCCCCCTCTTAGGATTTTCAGCTCAAAATATTTTGCTGAGATTGCTGATACAGGGAGCTGCAATGGTAGGACGATACCTTGCTCCTGACCTACCCACTCATTTGCAGTTGAGGAGGGATCAAGCTGGAAAGCTTGGAAGTTGGATTGTTGAAGGGTAACTGGTCTTCTACAACATGTTAAGATTTTTCTTTTATTTTTGAGTAGGTAATTCTGGATTAATTAGGGACATAAATACTCAAGTCCAAATAGCATACATGAGGCAGAAGTGGCACCAGACAAGAAAGCAAGCTTTGCTTCCTCAAGCAATATGTATTAAGCTGTATAATTATGTATCAATTTATATTTTGCCTACAAATGAAACCATTTTGCTAGGTTTCCAGCAAAGGTGAAGGAAACTCCTCTTGCAGTTGCTTACAAAATGTAATTTGTGATATATTGAGGTAGTACTACTCCACTATGGGTCCCTCTTCTTTGTTTAAAATACAGTTGTTGTCTTTAAAGCCAACTTGGAACTTGAAAGTTTAGTCAAAGTTAAAATTCTTAACTTAAAATTTCAAAGGCTAAGTCTGCAAGCCAGAGTCAAATCTGAAGCAAAAATTGCTGAATGACTGACGCTGACTCTTCAAATGAAGTATCATACTAATCCCCGACAAGTTAGTATTTTTGGAAACTATGACTCCAACAAAGCAGGTCCTCCCTAAATCTAATCTCTCTGCTGTGAGATGCTGAATATTCACTGAGTCTGTTCTGTAGTCTCAAACCCCTGTTTTGTGAGAGAGTTGTGTTCGAAGGGAAACCTTGGCTAAAGCTCTGCTGAAAGCAAAAAGAGAATGTAAGTGGCATGAAGAACAGTGTAAGGGGAGCACCTTAGAATTTAAAAGAACTTAAAGGGGTTGTAACTGAAACACTTGTAATTATGAATGGTAGAGTAAAAATTGGTCAGTCATGTTGTAAGAAGAGGGCTATGCAATAGAAGAATAAGCAGTACGTTTTGTTTCACTTATGTTTCACTTTAATAAATAGCTATACAGTTAACTAACTTCTTGAAAAAAGCTGAATTTTAGAAAAACTCATGATTTAATGTGTTATGTTGGAGTCAGAATCCAAGGAAAAAAGTGTGGTGACAATATACTCCTAACTGTGCAGATACAAACACATTTGCTAACATAAAGAAAATAAGTAGCTATCTGTTTGCATACTATCAGGGAAATGCATTGTTTTGGCACTTCTTATTTTTTGGAGTTGATTTTTGCTATCCTTATAATTCCTTAAAGAATATTTATTGTTCTATTGTCAGGGGTTCTAGACTGCGGTACGCCTATCGCTAGTGGTATGCCATATGCTTCCAAGAGTATGCGATTTTCATTTGAATATATTCTGTGCACATGAGGGGCTCAGCACTTACTTGGGAAGCTCCTCTACTGCCACAGGCAGTCTCAGAGCAAATTATGTTGGGGAACCTCCTTATCAAGATATTTCTAGAAGCCAACAAAAATTCATGCTGAGCCTTGCAACTAATGGAAAAGCCATCCCTTCTGAGAAATCAAATTCTAACATTTCTTTAACAAGGGATGGTGGCATACAACATTTCCTCTTAAGCTTAAAGTATGTGATTTGATGATATTGCATACACAAAACTTATGTTATCAGATATTAAATGTGTAAATGGTAAATGCTGATGTATTTACTTACTCCAATCCACAAGAAGATTTCCAGTACTAGATTGATAATTTGTTCAAATCTACTGCCTCAGTACCGTTACTTTAATCATAAACTTCTTGGAGCTAAGACATCCAAGTGAAATTTGATGTTCATTACTGTGTCAGTGTGTGCATGGTACTGATGCTGTCCATGCTTACTATACTTACCATGCCTTTAATATAATGTTTTAATCTTCTGTAAAGGCCTTATATTATTCAGACTCTCCACTCTTCTCTCTCTTGTCTGTGTCTACTAGGTTTTATTGGCTGATTAACTTAAATTCAGCACTTGTCTTTGTCAGCATTTCTTATATCCAGCAGTCTGTGGCCAGGAACCTTGGTTTTCTTATCCCATTCGTGTCCGTGCTTATGGCTACGATCACAATTCACATGGTGCGTGGTGAAATGATTTACAAACCCAAAACAGGTAAGAGGCAACAATATCTTGGGAAATACCTTTAGAGGTTATTTTCACAGAGGAGATCAACTTGCATATCTAAATGAGTTCTTCCACAACACTGCCCTGTTTGGTTGGAGATACTTGGGTTTTAACTCTACAAGGTCTGTGTGTAAGAGACAACATCCATCCTCCGTAAAGATGGATCTGGAGATTCTGGATAGGCTGAAAAAGTGGAAAACGGTCTCTGGTAAACTTATATGCATTTTGTGTCATATCAAGACGTGTCAAAGCATCTGCCTGTGCAGGAAGAGGTATATGCATGCTGCTGGTGGACTTTATTTTGGCATGTTTGGTTCAATGTATGCACAACGTGTTTTGGTCAATTGAAGCAAAGTTTACACCTATGCTAAGGCACCAAGCACACTTGTGTTTTCTCCCTTAAATGTGCTCCATACCTTCACCTGAACTCTCACCTCAGCACCCAAGCAGTGTGGTCAGTCAGCTAAACAGGAACATGCACTGGTAGCAAAGTCGTTATATAATGCCTTTATCTTGCAGAATGTCTGATGCTTATTGTTATTTCAATGTCCTTGCTTATACAACATCAAGTGTTTTTACACATCTGAAAATAACTAGAAATACTGAATAACTCTAAATAGTTCCTATGCAGACTGTGGAGATATTTTAAAACAGAAGTTCCTACACTTCTGTGGCCTCACTAGTTAGTATCTGAGCTCTTCAAAATCCTTTAATGGCAACTACCCCTCTCCATTGACCAAGCACAGAAACATCAGTGGAGCGTAGGTGACTTGTATAAGCCTGTAAGTGCCCAAACCTTGTTATTCTTTTTCCAATAGAACCCAGAAACTGCAAGCAAATAGTTATTTCAGTCTTTTTGTTGTAAATATAATCTAAGCAAAAATATATTAGCAGTGAGGGAATAAATGCATAAATCAAATGCCTGGGAATATCATAGTGAGGACGTCACTAGAGAGGTTTATTCAAAACAAATAGAGCAAAAGAAATGTGTCCCCTCTTCAATACCCCAAAACCATCATGATAATACGCAACGGAGGTCTGCAAAGACTAGCATCAAATTAGCAAGCTGCTTATGGAGAGAATGGTGGCTGTCTGGCTCGCTGGGGCTCACTACAGGTTTTACAACCTGAGAAGGTAAAAAGATTCATTAGTATCCACCCCTGAGCTGGACTATTCATATGGACTAAATCTGTAGTTTATCATCTAACTAGTTTAATTCTACTAAGTGGAATAACATAAATTTGTAGGTTATGTCTGTCTTGGCCATCAACAAAAACAGCAGAATATTTTTTTTTTTATCAAATGTTTTTCCCCTATGAGTGTTTGATTTATCATATATTTTCCAAGTCTTTGCAGAATGCCAATCTCTACACTAATATCTGCGAAGTTTTTTATCTCCTTAGTCAAGATAAATGATAATATACTTGTACCTTCCAGTGAGATGATGAAATTTGGAAATTCTTCAGAAGTGCAATTCAAATCCATAGGTGACCTTAAATGATTTTTATATATGCTGCCTTTTTTATTTTAAGGTAACTCTTCAAATATGGATCATGCATTCAATTATGTTTAGCTGTCAAGCATGGATTTCATTTGCATTTCTTCCCACTGCTATAATTTTGAGGACTGGCAGGTGACCAGAGATGAGGAAAAAATGTGTATCTACCATCTAGGGTGCAATGTAGGTTTTTTATTGTAATTAAGTAGCATAGATATTCATTATTAGATCAAGGTCAAAGTAGCAGAACATTACAGCCAAGGACTGAAGTATAAAGGAGAAGGAAAATCACCTTCTGAAAGCTGCGATTTAATATCTATAGAGATAGATTTTATTTTTTTTGAGAAAACATTAGAAATACAAGTATAGAGTATACGATGTTGATCTACACAATGTGTACTGGTATAAATATTTATGCTTTTAAACATATCTCTTACTAGCTGATCAGATTTGTAATCTGAAGAATTCACCCCTATGGAGTTCTGTGGGGTTTACTTGTTTTCTTTTAAAGAAGGGGTGAGATACTTATTCTAACTACATCACTGGCAAAATCCTCTTGATATCGATTAGGTCTGTGTCATTCACGTTTATTTTTGAACTACAACTTCAAGCAGCTTTATCTTCCCAATTTGCTAGATCTTATAATCTGCTGGAATTCCATGCCAAGAAACACAGCTAAATAATATAGTTGTCATTATTTTGCATGAGGCAAAACAGACTGAAATTACATTAAAGAGGGCCCTAGCTGATCCATTAGGAAAGGCAGTGAAATGTCAGGACTTGTTGTCTATTTTAGTCTTTTTCTTCAATGAGAGTAAGTAAGAAGAGTCTGCCCAACATCTTCCATTCCAAAGGAAAGGAGATGACTGTGGCTGTCTTCAAGACTAGATCAGATAAACCAGGACACAGCCATGTTGTTACTTTGTTTGAACTGTCTGCTAGTCTTGTCATGGGGCATCATGTGCATCTTCTGATTTCAATGCTGACTGGGCTCAAACCCTTGTAGAGCAGTAATAACACCACTTTACTGCTTTTAATTCCTTCTTTGTGAATGTCTATCCTCTAGCATGCAGCGAAGCAAAAGATTATCGCTTCTCTGACCTAAAACATGTAATTACTAGTTCTGCCAATGAGTTGAGCTGATACTGACTTTTCTGCTACCTTTTTTTTTTTACTTAATGAAATTGACTCTGCTTTGACAAGAGCCCCAAGTCCCACTTGTTTTCTGGTTAGCTTCTTAGTCAAGTCACTCTGGAAGGCTGCATATTTTTCTTTTGGTCTTCAGATTTGGTCTTGAAATGGTCTAGATCCTAAACTAAAACATCACTTAAAGTAAGTGTTAAGAATAGCTGCCTGTACAGTCATACAGAACAATAAAAACTGTACCAACTCTCTGTGTTTGCAAGCTTTGATATGTTCTCTATTTCAGATTTTATTCAACAGTGCCAACAGTCTACAGGTTAATGCTAAACAGTCAGAGTTTTAAATGTTAGTTATCTAATAAAATTCCCTTTCTTAATACTCTAGAGCAAGTGCTTCCAATAGGTGTCAATGGATATTTCTAGAAAATAGTTTCCATACCAGAGATAGTAGGGAGACATTTTTCCCTCTACCATCTTCTTAGTTCACTGTAGTTTTTTGAAAGTATTTTTTATAGATACCCCAGTTATTGTAGTGCTTCAACACTCTCAGAAAAGCAAAGAAGCGCTATAACCCCTATTTGCATGGATTGGCAACTTAGCAAAGGTAAAAGAACCTGCATTCCCAAGCCTGAAGCTAACAGTTTTATCCTTGTTTTAGTTCCATTGCCTCTGAGTTTGAGAACCAAGTTAGCAATTCCTGAACGCAGTAACCAGTGGGCAAGTTTTAATATGCCAAGTACTAGACTGGAAACTTCTCTCCCACAGGAAGCTACCTGGAAGTCCTGATATAATATTTCTGGCTTTGACATGCATCCATGAAAATTCTCTCTCATCAGCCCTCTTTTGAGCTCCTTTCCTTTCTCACTTCACTACTACCCTCCCCTTGCTAGACCTAAGTGGATATGTAATATTTCATTACTGTCTTGAATTAAAAACTAACCTCATTCAATCAATATAAAGCAAAAGCAAAGTAATACTTTATCTGCTCAACCACAGCAACAAATTGTTGTGGTGTGTTAAATAACTGGTAGCAAAAGGCAGTTTTCTCTGTGGATGTTGGCCTGGATTGCTTTTTTAACCATTAGGTTGTGAACCAACTGGCTTCCAAAAAAAGAATGTTTTAGAACAAATCCAGACTGTTATTGCCTTCCCCCTCCCCCAAAAGACATAAAGGTGAATGTATCAGGTTGTATTTTCCTTCCCAAAATGATCTGTCTTGTCTTGTTTATTTTGGCAGCAAGTAAAAACATATCGATGTCTCTCTGATTGTTTGCAGACAGTTCCCTGCTGACGACTTTTGGGGTAATCGCTAGTGCACTGAAAACGTGCTGCATGCGATATCGCTACTTTAGTGGAGGCGTGACAAACTGGCTAGATCATGCCAAGGAAAACTGTGGTGGTCAGTACAGTGAGATTCAGGTGGAAAGCACAAAGTCGCTTGCCAGGCTCTTCCCGTTGTTTGCTTTCCAAATTCTATACAGAACATGTATTATGCAGGTGGGTACTCAGCTTTTAAACAAAAATCTTGAAAAATACAGTGACATGTGTTTACAACTATGTTTCTAGGCATGTTTTTTTTTAACTGTTGTTTTACCAGCAGAGCAACCTTGCAGAGTAGTTTTAATTACATGAGAATATACCTTGTTATATCCTCTCATCTCATGAAATAAGTAAAATCTACTTGATCAAGACTCATGAAGGAGCTTGTGTGACTGCTTGCTACTTATTTCTCTGAACCCTTACTGGCTGAAACATCTAGTGCTGAAGTCCTGTGCCCCTCACACTGCTGTGTTACAGTTATCAGAGACTCAGGCTCAGCATTCTTTTGAGAGGAAAAAAAAAAAAAAAAAAAAAAAACACGAAAACAAAACCAAAAAACTAATTTCTTAAATTTTCACTCACTTTTTGGGAGAGGTAGAAAATCTTTATTTTTTCTTTTGGTTGCTTATTTCTCTTACTGTTTTGGCAGGATTATGTGGGTAGTGTACCTACACTGGAAATGCGTGGTTTTCCATTTGTGGAAAGTACATTCCTTTCACAGCCTCTCTATCAGGCTACATGGTTCTTTTCACTTCTGAGTGTATGTATGTTATATAAATGTAAATGTGTCAAAAAGCTACTTAAGCTGACCTGATTCCTTCAGGTTCATTTCTGTCTGGATGATCCTGGCTAAGCAGGAGTTTGAGGTAGCTTACCCCTTGGCAACTGGCATAACAAATTTATGAGCTGGCTTGGAAATTCATTTTTACTTATTGGTGTTAAAATGCTGCTTAAGGAAATTCTTCCAAATATGTAGTGTATACTGCTTTATTGACACTCCCTCTTGCCATCATTTTACATTCCCATCCATCTGCCTCATTCTTTTTCCTCTTCCCTCCCCACCCGCCCAAAAGTACAAAAAACCCGAGCAAACAAAAAAACCCCACCCTAAACCAAAAAACGCACACATATGGCTGAGGCTATGCATTAATGACCATATGGAAGTTAACCACATATCATTAATCAGAGGTTTAATAATCAGGTATATGTCTAGAAAAGATAGAAGTATTTGCACTGCTGAAAGAGGTGACTTTTATTCCTTCGGCAGAATTTCCAATAAGTTTAAGGCTCGCTCTCAGGCTTGGCGATAGATCAGTATGTTTTTTGTAAAGATTAATAATATTTTCTCCATATTATTAAGTTAACAGCTTTCAGTGCCTGTGATTCATGTTAATGATATTTTAATTCCTATTAAGAAGTCAATTCTGATTTGCAATAGGCAGTAGAAAGAAGGAACCAACAAAATTTGGCTCAGTTCTGATCTTTCATAGTTCTGTTGCCATTTATGCACCCTTTTACAATTTATATCTTCTTTTGGAGGTGGAATGTAGGTGAAAAATATTTTTATGAAGACCTAGCATTTGAGTCATTCTTTAGCACTGAACAGACTCCCAGTGAGTAGGTTTGACTATAAGCATTGATGAGAAACCCTAGATGAGCTCAGTTACTAACTATACATTAATTTTCAGACAGCTATAAAGCAGTAATATTCTACCTGGATTTGGCATTGCTAGTCATGTTGAAGAGCCATGTGCTGGTAAGAGTCTTAAAAATTACTCCCACCTTGAGCACACAATCAGAAGTGCAAAATAACTGCATCTTGCTATTCTGTTCTGTTAAGCACCATCTATGAAGAAGTAGTGACTAAAGTATTGGGCAGAACCATTTAGTATATTGACTGATAGCTCTAACTAGGAATGATCAAATAAACTAATGGGCTGGTTCTTAGATTTGTTAAACTGAGGAGCAAATGAAATAGAAGGAAATTGTTACATTCTGGCAGAGAACAAGAATATCACTATCTGAAAGGCTTTCATCATGAAAGGTTGTTCCTTTTGGCCAGCAGGTATTTGGTTTACTGTGATTTCTTCAGAAGGAAAAGAGGTGGAGAAGTTTCCAAATATAGTAAAAAATCCTATCCATGAAAGGTTACTGGTATACTAATGGAGTGGGTTTTTATTCTTCAATACAGATTCCTTCAGGATATTATCTCCAAACCATGAATTCCAACTTGAACTTCAGTGGATTTGTCTTGCCAGTTGCAGCAATGAATGTGATAAGCATCGTGCCACTACTGATTCTTGTTCCTATTTTGGAATGCATTAACTCATGTCTCTTTAGTTCCAAGGACACTGGACATTCTCCAACAATTTACATCGGTATGTATAAAGAACATGTGTTTATACAGTTTTAATATGTATTCTGTTTTTGAAAGAGAAACTGCAGTAGGTGATGGATGATCCTACACAATTGATTCTGACTATAAATATTAAGATGGACCTGTTTTCGGATGACTCTGAAGTATGTTTCAAAGGAATTGTTGAAAAGACAGTACTGAAAAAACATGTTAGATATAAAGAAAAAATGTTTAGGACAGAGATTGAGGCTCTTCTGATAAATGAAAAATTCTGATACACTCACAAATAACTGAGAGTCAGCCTAAGGAACTGGTGAGAGAAACAGTATTAACCATTTAGGCTTGAGACTTACTCTGACTTGGTTCTCTTCTGTATGTTTGTTTATCCATTAACTTTTGGAAAGTTAATTTACTTTGGAAGTCTTTTTTGGAGATGGGAGAGTCCTTCAGTTGCTCTCTGATACTGGAGAAATGTTCTGTTGCTCAAAATGGTGAGTCTGGACTTAAATAATTAGGTTATAAATAAAGGCTTGGTTTTTCTTACATTTTTATGCTATAACTTCATCAACATTGGGACTGCAGCTTATAAGAGTGAAATTGTATTATCACTAGTACAGTTTATTCTAGTTTCATCCCAAGTGAAATGAAAGTATCAAGTCTAATTCTGTGTCTGCAATAGGTGTTTTTAAAACTGATGAGCAAAAGAAAACATGCAGACAACTGCGTAAAACAAATGGATGTGTGTCACTGGACTGCTGTTCCCATTGAGCAGGCTGAACATTTCACAGGTTGAAGGTTACTGGGAGAGATACAGCTTTCCTTTCTAGTACTAGAATTTTCATTTGAATATCTAGTATGGGATAATCATTCAGGTGTTTAATAATTTTATTTATTAAAATCCTAAACTGAAACATACCTTACTGTACACTCACCTAAAGTAAAGCAAAGAGGCATCTGCAGAGATGAAGTATTGCCTCTTTCTCATAGAAGTGGTACAAAGAAGTCTTCTCTGTTGTGAGTCCCAACATTTTCAGCAGTAAGCATTGTAAACTCAGGCTTGCAGGTTGGTGCTCATTTCAGAGAAGTTCATAGCCTAGAAGTCATGATGGCTTTAATAGGGGTTGGTGTTCCTTCTGTTTTATTATTATTTTTTTTTAATTCCCCCCTACCCCCAAACATCTTATGTTCTAGGATCTGGAGGGACGCTCTGCAACCCTCTTCTGATATCAGCTACGTCTATACCACCAGAAAAGCAGCTTCCATTCTGTATTCACTTAAAACTATTCCCTTTTGTAGATACTATCATTAAACTTCCTACTTTTTTTTTTTTTATCTTCCAGCCTGCATTACAAACTGCAGACAAAAATACTTATAAACAACTATTTTCTCAGTGTGCTACTATTAATTCAGTGCCCCATGGCAAGCAGCACAGTGAGTACTGACACACACAGAGGTATTAATCTGACTAAATTAGCCTAATTAAGAGTGTTATTAAGTTTTATACAAACCAGATGCATATAACGCAGCAGGTTGCAATTACCCTAGTTTTTAAAATAACATCTGCATTAAAACACAAAAAGCACATTCAGATAATAATTTTCCTTAAAACCATGGAAATTTCAAGTTAGTATTAATGTTCTATCCTGTTACGTTGAACAGCAGTAAAATAAATGCAGTGGTTTATTCTTAATAGCTTCATTTATTAAAATAGCGTCCTGTTAGGGGTGATAAATTACCTGAGGCATAAAAATACCTGTGAGTACAGGCGATGGCTTTAGGTATCAAGGTATATGACTGCACCTGCAAATATGGTAGATGTCTAAGTGCCAATATTTTTGCCAACAGTTAATTAGGTTCACAATTATTTTCAGGAACAAAACTGAAAGTATAAATAGACTGTTGGTGTTGAGCCAGACTATAACTATATTTTAATTCAAGTCTTGTAGGAGGAAGAAATTTAAATAGTTTTCTGGAAATTTTCAGTATGTTAAGAATAACAGTTTTCAAGGACGAACCATGTAGACAATGTTGAACTGAAATATCTGATTGCTTTGTAATAAGGATCTAAGTGAAAACTGTTATCTATGTTACTTTCTCTATAGTTATTGGTTTATTTGTAAATTAGGTGTAATCTAAAAAACATTAAAATCTTAAAATGAATTTAGATTGTGTCCCAAATATATTGAGTATCTGGACCTCTTTATGAAAAACATGAGTATTTGGTAAACTTAGAGTTTGTCCAGTTTCATAGTTATTTTGGGTCTGAACTGAAGGTGTGTGTCTGCTGGGTAGTTGTCCTTCAGCTACAGGCAGGAGGCTCTAGCTGAAGTGCCTGAGCCATAGAATTTCTTGCTTTAATATTCTTAATGCCTGATTATACTGAATTGTCATATAAATCTCGGATTTACTCCATCCAAGAGTGATGTGGGGAATAGCTGTCTGTACACTACACAAAAGCAAGCCTCCAGTCCAATGGCTATTTCAGATGATTTAGGAGTTGATGATGACCATTTCTCCCTAAAAGATGTTCTAGTTTGAACAAGTATTCATTTCAGGAAAGCTTTTTGACGAGTTTTACTCAGGATATGAGATTAGGTAATAGCAAATGTCCAGTACAACCTTAGTGTCTAGATAATTTACACTACCTTGTCCTAGAATCAGCCCCAAGCGTTCCTAAAGCAACCTGTTCTTCTGTAAAACCAAAGCCTCAGATGGTCATTCCAAACTGCTTGTTTTAAAGAGGACTAAAGGGGGAAGAGGTAGGAGGAAAACCACGTCTTCACAGCTCTTGGTTTCTTCCTCTGCCACATTATGTCTTAAAAGAAATATTACAAATGTTGAGCATTCAGAGGTTGCTTTTTCTGAAATGTTTTGGCTTTTAGTAAGGGAAATGCTTAAAATATAGCACTGTGTAGTAATACTGAACTGCTTGAGGTTTCTTTAGTACTAACATAATTTTTCACTAGGAGAACTCTTGCGTTGGTAGATTACAAGAAGCTCCTTGAGGGTTTTATACCTGGCCTCAATAAGGTGCATTGGCTAGAAAATGCTGTTGAATTCCCTCTCATCATCAATTTTCAAGCAATAATTCATTGATGTTCTTATTAAGCACTAGAGGGGCCTTAACAGCAAAACAGCTTCTAGGCCTCAGGTTGGGGGGGGGCAGGTATTTAAAGTTCTGAAAAAGCAGGAAAAACGTGCTGGTGGAAGGGTGCAAGTTTGCTGCTGAGAGAAGAAACAGATGCATGTAACAACATAACAAGGCTAAGGCCACTTAGCTATATGAGTTTTCTGCCTGTTCTGTCCTGGCACCCAAAGAGAAATTTTATATGTATTATACATATAAAATGAAACAAAAGCCTTTGAATGTTGACATCAAATCTTGTAAGTTTAACAATTTCCAGTCATGAAGTGAGATGAGGTTTCTTATGGGGAAAGCAGTGCACAGTCCAGGTATTTGAGCCAAAGCTGTGAAAAGAAACCAAATTCTCACACCTGTACTTATAGCTTAGAAATGCTGAGGAGTCACAAGCGTAGTCAAAATCAATGGGAGCTCAAAACGTCAGAAGTGTAAATGTTTCAAGTTCAGGAGTCTTACACGAAAACTTCGCATTCTTTGTGTTTTTCTGACAGGCTACAACCACTTCATACTGTCAACATCAAGAAATAGAAAATAATACATTTAAATAGTATCCTCTAGGCAATGTGTTGTGAAGTGTGCAGTATTTAAAATACATCTGAGTTTATTAGATTTTTTTTTCTTGCATTATGAGGCTAAACATATAGGATTTTTTCCTGACCTGTGTGCTTGTGCAGTACTTGTACTTGTGCCTTACCACTGAGGCAAACAGTAAGACTCCACGCATTGCACGTGCAGTAACATATTGAAATGTGTTATGGATCCAGCATGTTATGGTTATGCATCCAGTATATTGTGGATCATGCAGTGATACTTCTTCAGTTGCCTCCTGCCTTCTTCAGTTATCCTGTAGTCCAACGGCTTATGTGTAAATGCTTAGAAAGCTGGAGATTATGTCTTTGAGTAATGCAGCTCATCTCATCCCAAAATGTTCAACAGGCCAGCAAATGCACTATCCAACAAACTTTCAAAAGTAGATCAGGAGAACTCTATAGTGGAGGGAAAGGGGAAAATGTAGGAATGCTTGATCTCCTGAGGTGTGATATGCACTGCTCATTTTTTTTCTTTCCCATCTACCATGGCCTGCAGCCTTAGAAATCCATACTTCAACTGCCTGCACTACTACTTCTTGCGTAGAAAGCAAATGGGTAAAACATACGGTGTATATGTATATTTCAGAATCTTATTGCTGCTTGAATAGCAGCAATTCCCACCCAATCTCTTGTGATATCTGGAAGGGCTGCTGCCTTTACTTTCTCTCCTCCTTTATTACCTCCACCAATCTTAAAAATAAATAAATAAATAAATAAAATTGTTCTTTGTGACTTTACTCTTCAGAAAAGTTTTTCGTCTCTCATTTATTCTGCATCCCTAAGTTCTTTCTGTGTTGAGCTGGTGTCTCTTTGCCACATATTTAGAGTTAGGCTTGTGGTGCAGCAAGTACTCTTTGTCCATGTTTGTGTCCAGAAAGGATGTATTGGGGAGGAGGAGGAAGAAGAGAAGCTTCTTTTGCATCTCCTGGGACTCTGCTTCATTCTAAATACATGATAATCCTGTAACTACAGCTTGGTGAATGCTCTCTGTGCTCTTTATCCAGTTGTAGGTCAGTTATCTGCTGCACTTTCTGTGATGGTTGCTGGCTTCTCTGAAATACACCGAAAGCACTTCCCTCAGGTGGAGCAGATGCTTTCAGAGGAGGTTCTCCTGGTCTCTTCCATGCCTTGTTTCCACTTAGCTCCTCAGTACATCCTACTTGGAGTGGCTGAAGCTTTGGTAACTCCCTCCTGTAAGTAAAATCTAATAGGCTAAAGCAAGAGTGTCCTGATTTGCAGAGAATTATATCAACTTCCTAAAAATAATCACTGTCATCTGATATTTTATCCCTGGCTCTCTTCCATGGGCTTAATGAGCAGATCTGTGCTTTACCTGCTTCAGAGTAGCATAATTTGCCTTGCTGGCTGTAACTCAGTGAGCAATGACGTTGTTCCAGATTAACTAGAAGGTGACACAGCCAGGTCAGGTCCCTGGGCTGCGTAATCCACTGTGCGGTGGGGGGATGATCGGAGCGGTGGGACTCTGGGCTCGGGTGCGTGACTGGTCTTGAAGCTGAACCTGCTTCAGGCAGGGGCTGGACCGGATAAGCTCCTGAGACCCCTTCTGACCTGAACTCTTCTGTGGTGATTTTCTTGAGACAGAACAAATATGCACATGACAGCTGAGCTGTGGTTACGGTCTATGAGCACTTTTTAGGCCACAGTCAAAGCAAGGTGAAGCAATTTAGCTTAATCCTTTTCATTTGTGGACCTAGCTAACAGAATTATTAAGCATTTTTCACTGACACAGAGCATATGCAAGCGGGTAACACAATTCAACTGACAGGCTAACCTGGAGAATATTGTAAGCAGATGCAAGATTTTTGTTTGTGCTCCAATCAGGAGTCATGCGAACATGCTTGCACAGAGCAACAAGCCTTAGCTTGTGGCATGGAGCCAGAGACAAACACTCCTGCTTTCCAGAGCACAGGCAGAGCTTAGCTCACGCCTGCCACCTGTAAATTATGTGGACGTGCTCTTGATTGTGAGTCTGAACCTTCTCTCCCTTCCATAATTTACCTTTCCACATCTACACTGACATTCCTGAGGCTTATTGTCTTCTGAGGAGCACGCAGAGTGCTTACCAGTGTTTTACCTTGCAGAGCTTAAAAAAATGTTAGTATAACAAAAATAATCTAATCAACATTCACTTAAAGAGACACAGGTGAAGTAATTGACTAGCTGATCTCTGCAGGCATTTAATTCTACAGGTTGAGTGTCTATTGTTCCAGTACAACCCCAGAAATGTTCAGATTTTTATTTAAGAGTAGGAAATAACTTCAGTGTCTCAGCTTCATTCTTATACTCTAAGACTACTGAGAGCTGTGGGTCATGGTCTGTCACTAAAAAGGTAATTTTCCCTAGTTTTAAATACTTAGCACTTTCATAATGCCTCTTCATCCGATAGCTCTCAAGTACTTAACTGAGACAGGTTTCTAGGCAGGTAATGTGGTTTCTAGGTTACAGGCTAAGTGTAAGTGAAAACTGTGACCTTCTCTGTTTAGCTTAACAAAAAAAGAGGTTAGGAGGTGACTTGCTTACAGTCTTCTCATGCAGAAGCATGAGAAGAATATTGCTGGTACGATAAAGCTTTTTAATCTAGCACACTGGGACACAACAGAAGTTCAATGGCTGGAAGATGACATTAGCCTTTAGAAAAGAAATAAAGCTCCATGTTGTTTTGGTTTTTTTCTTTTTATTTTTTTTTTTAAATCTCTTTAAAAGATTGTGATTAGAATTTCTGAGGAAGAAAAGTTGTCTTCCCCATTTAAATAAAGATTAAGCATCTTGCTAAGAGCTGCAGTTAGAGGTGTGATTCAAGAACCTAGGTAAATGGGACTAAGCCTGAATTTGACTTGCTTGTAGAAAACTAAAGGTAGGCACCTAAAATAGCACGTTACTACTGTAGTCGATGGGGATGCAGGCCTCCACTTGCCCCCACATAGGTGTCTGGCACCATTTGTCATGGAGTACCTAGGCTATACCCGTGGGGCAAGCAGGCTCTTTACGGTACCTGTGTGGCCTCCAGCTGCTGCTGGGGAAGAGCGCGGTTTTCCCGTAGGTCTTGCACCTTATCGGACAGCCCCGTGCAGATGGCTAAGGGGCAGTAGAGCATTTCAGGCAGCGCTGGGCATCTGTGTTCAAACTACTGAACTGAGCTTTAGATTTCTGCTTCTATTTGACCTGAACTGCTGTTCAGGAACCATTCAGTGGATCTCCATGGATGGTAATGACAGCCTAGACACTTAAATAGTTGTTTCACCTTTGCTGACATTTTACTGCCTTTGTTATGCAGAAGGTCAAATTCAATTAGCATAATAATTTATTTGACCCGAGTACATGATCCAAGTTGAAGACAGAAATGTTCACACTTGTAATTAGAGGGAAGAGAGGAGATAACTCATTTCTGAAGTACTTGGTTAGAAGAGCTAGATTTGGCATATTGAACTCTTTATCTGTATTTGAGTCCTGATACTTACAGTTGTGTTTATACAATATATTTCATTATCTTGTTGATAGGAGTTTTATATAATCATCTGCTTCAGGTGGCATGAGCATCTTTTAGAATAATATCAGCATTTAATGTTTCCCTAGCATTGAGGTAGTCTTTAAAAAATAAAATAAAACTGATAAAATAATTGCTCTCCTCTACAATGTTAGAATGCAAGATCTCTCAGACCTCTGACAGCTTGAATTTGTAACCTTAGCTTGGTTTAAACTAGGAAATTACTCTTTTAAATCCCAATGATTTAAAAAAAAAAAAAAAAAAACGCAAACTCCCCCCAAAAAACCGAAAAAGATACTGCCACAAAAAAACAAACAAACAAAAAACCCCAAACAAAACCAAAACAACTTCATCCTGTGGGAGAGTATTAGCAGGCATTTGCCCCCACAGCGCATGATATTGCTGGTGATGGGAAGCCAGCCTGCTGGCCACAGCAGCTGTGTTACACTGCCAGTGTCCAAGCCGCCTGGTGCACTGTAACTGCTTTGCCCTACAAAGGGTTAGCAGATTTGCAGTGTTTGCTGAAGTGCTGCAAGAATATCATCCGCCCATCAACATGTCTCAAAGCACTTAGAAATGGGAAGCCTTATAACAAACAGCTCTGTTAGTTAAAGGATATATTGGGGATCACTTCACCCACGAATGAAATGCAATAGTCTCCAGGGTGAAATGCAGCAGCTGTTTAATAGTTCCCAGCAGCACCGTGGGAGAAGCGAGGAATGGAGTATGCAATTGAAACAGCAGGGGTAATTTAGGTAAGTAGGATGCAATTACCCAGACAGAATTTGGCCAAGATGCATGTTTTGCACCCCTGGTTTTAGAAGGGAGGAATAACCAAAAACTTTTTAGGCTCTCACTGATTCAAATTAGCTAGGACACTGACTGTACAATGTTTCTGACTGTACTGTTGCATCTACAGATGGTGTCCCGGTCTCACCTGCTTTATCTTGCCCTCAGGCTTTTGGTTCCTATTGTGAATGAGGAAAAAACACTGCCCATGGTATTTTTGTCTTTTCTTTAATATGTTTCCAAAGCTCTCATTTGGACATCCAAATTAAAAAGGGTGGAAGATGATGATTGCAAAGCTTCATTTGTATTCAGAGATGCTTCAGGCAACTCGGCATCCAAATAAGATCCTCTGCTGTCAAGTTTCTCAAGCTGGAGGTCATTCAAACTCAACTAATAAAGCAGGTTGGGAGACACTGGGGCTTGGAGAACAAGTGTGGATGAGGGCTCAAGGTGTGAAATTAGGAAACAAGAGGCTTTGATAATCAGGGAAAGTTGCTCAAAAAGAATAGCTATCATAAAGACTTACTGTTACCCTAACCTAGTTCAGCCAATTTACAGCTGGTGGGATTATTTATAGTCATCCATGCTACAACAGCATGTTACAGCTCCCCCTCACCACCAAAGCTGTTGCTTCTTCTGGTTTAGTCTTCTAGCAAGAAAGTGAAGAACAATGTCTTAAAAATTAGCCAGTGACTCTGGGGGTTGCTGTCTGGGGAAGAGGAGCATTGTCCAGGCTTAAGTTAAAGCAAGGTGACTCTCCAAGTTAAGGTAGAGCTCTGGATTTTGGAATTATTTACTAGTGGCTGTGCTGCATGGGCTCTGGCATAGGAGGTTCCACTGTCCTGCAGTTAAATATCACATCTGCTGTCTTCACGCTTGCTGACTGTGGTGGTGTTTCTCTTGTCTTGCTATGCCTGAGGTTTTAAAGGTGAAAGCAGCTGCCTGGGTGAAAGATCTTTATGTACTTGTGGAATATCGACACTTGTATGTGGGATGATTTTTTACGGAGGTTCATTTAAACAGTTGAGATAATCCTTTGTTAATAGAGTACATGCTAACACATCTGCCCGTGTGCAGCAAGAACATTCTCTGTGTAAAATATGGAAAGTCCCTATTAGAGACACTTTGGATTTTTTTCTCTTACCTATCTTCTACCACCATTTACTTTTTTTTTTTTTAACCTGTAACTCTATCTGCTTCCTTTCTAAGGTTCCTTACTTTCATTCTGGCTTGTGCCAGAAAGAATTAGAGGGATTTCCATGCATTTTTTAACTCTCTTTAATGGAGCTGGCTGCTTTATGGGAGCTTTCTTTGTTCTGACAGCCCACGCAGGCACTCAAGGTAAGAATATGCTCATGACCAGTGTTCCTGAGCAGTTTTCTAATATTGATTTGGAGAATTAGGCAGCAGAATTAAAGGGGATGCCAAAGTTTTATTGATTTGCTCTCACAATTAAGATGGAATTAAGATAGGAAATAGCCTTCCAGCTGTATTCATCCAATTTTAATGAGTCATCTCAGTTTTGATAGTTGGAGTAATTAGAGGATGGCATCTTGCAGGAAGCCCTCACCTCCAATCTCTGTAGTTCTGTTCTGGAAGACAAGAAAATAAATTGTCTGGGGAGCACCTTTTTGTGTTCATGAAGAAGTACATTCATGTTAGCCACGCTTGCGTGGAAGCCTCTGGCCACGAGAGCAAGATTAGTGCTTCAAAGAATGGAGAACATGCCTGCCTTTCTGCTCCACAGTGTTGTAGGGGAAAGGAGGTTGGGTTGAGTGTTTCAAGGCTGTCCAGGGAATTTGTTTCCCTAGACCCATTACTTCTCTCTTGCCTTTTTTATGCCTCTCCCTTTGCCCAGCTACTGGAAGAACCAGATTCTGTGACAATATGGTCTCACTGTGATTTTACCATTTTGCAGATGGATACTGCAATTCCCAGAGAATTTATTGTTTCAAAAGGAGTTATTTCAGATTCAGCCTGTTGAGGAGTATTTAGTGTAAGCCCTGAACTGGAGTTTTTTCTGGGTTGCTGACTTTCTAGATAGGCCAAGCGTTTCTTAAAGTCTTTTTTCCTTTGCTGATGAATCTTTGTTCAATAGAGAAAAAGACTTGTTTCATAAGTACATTTAAAAAGTAAAGCACTTGCATTCTCGAACGAAAGAACAGGGAATCCTTTTGTTCACATATCTGAAATAGTTCCACTTGCTGAAGCAGTACTTCTAAAGATGCTTTCCATTGATAAGCTTTGTTGTTATTGCATTACAGAGAACTGTTCTCTTATAGAGCACAACTGTCATGCCCTAATGCACAACACTGTTGCAATTACCATGGCTGCAGAATTTTGTAACTGCTTATGGTTAAGTTTTGAGTTCTTCTCTTACCTACATAAAGAACCATGTAACTCAAAAACAAGAGGAAGTGTTGTGTTTTGGTTTTTTTTTTTTTTGAAAGTATGACAAGAAATTTTAATTCCTACTTGCAAGATCTGAACAAAGGAATGGTTCTTTGACATGCAGTGTTGTTTTTAAGCTAACAATTCAATTAAAAATTTCTTATGAGGTATAAAAGCATCACCTAGAGATGGGTAAAAAACAGGAATGCTTACGCAAATGAATCAGGCAAAGAATTATGAAGTACCAAGGCATCCAGTGTGGAAAGCAGAGCTCCTTGAATGTCCCCCAGTGGAAGAGATCTTTTTTTTTTTTTTTTTTTTTTTTCTTTGGGTAATATGGGTTCAATGAAACTAACACTTCAAGAAAGACTGTGTTGCTGACTTTTTCTTCCCCTCCCCCCAAAAGTATGGAAATTATTAATTTTTATACGGTTGAAATATTTTTTTTAGTAAAATTGATGTATTTTACTGCAATTTGACTTTGGGTATAATTAAATATTTATAAAATAATTAAGCATAATGTCAACATCAAAACATTTTGACTATGTTGTGCCACTATATATGTAATTTATTCCTTCATAGAATATTTTTATACAAAATGGTAGAGGAAAACAATTTTTGGATTTGGTTTGCAATTCAGTAGATTTTTGCTGATTTTATATCAAGGTGATTTATTCTTTTTCTGTAAGTCTGTATGAAAACATTTAATTGATTCAAAAAAGACAATGTTCATTTCCTGCAGAAATACTGTCTTATCAGAGCCTTCAAATTCTTATCCTGGTCAGGATCAAAAAGCCTGAACTCTCCAAATTCTCCACAGAGTGCAGTTGCCATGTTCTAACCCTTTTTGCTCAAGACTTTTGAGCAAACTGAAAAAGTTTCCTGGCTAAAATACTCCTCACTTTCATGAAGTTGGGTGGCAAGCTTCTCCACTTAGCTTTGAAAAAAAAGGTATAACTTATGTCTTTATTTAAGTTGGTCAGACCTGCCAGTGCTGTAGATGGAATTGACCGCACCATTATCCTGAGCAAAAGACACTCTTAAATTTCCAAGGGTTCAGTGACAGTCTGTATTCAGATTAAGGTGCTGTAATGGGACTAAATAAGCCCCTAAATAGGGGAAGTCCTCTGCAAAACTTGAAAATCTTTAGAGAAAATATAGTGAAAAATGTTTAATGTTTGCTCTGTTGCTCTAGTTAGAACCATTAGAGATTACTTTCCCTATTAGTATGTAAACAACATATTCTTGGACTCTCACATTTTATTTTTAAAAATAAGTGGAATCTCGCTGCGTATCTCTTTCCCAGTGTTCTCTGCTTGAATGAGATTAATTAATCTGAGTTACCACAATTCAGGCGATTCACAGCTTGTAAATAATGGAGATAGTCCTGTATCTTCATTTGTGTTATAATGGTTCAGACTGAAGACTTAGAGTATTCATCTACTCATCACAGCTAAACTTTTGTCCTGCTGACTCATAAATCAAAGTAGGCTTGGGATCAGACTGCTGGAGCTGGGTATAGACTATAACAAAACCGAAGAGGTATTTAGGCTTGGTTTTGTTTTTCTTCTAGTTACACAGGGAATATTATACACAAAATTCTCTTGTTCCATCTGTATTTTTTTCAAAACTCTTCCATTGTGCTTCTTACGGTGTTCTTTGGTGCTTGTGATGAAAAGCTTAAGATCAGCAAAATAATAACTTTTTTAATTTATAAAACTTAATGGTTACCTGTTGAACCCTCTAAAGATGACAGCGCTTCAGACAGTAAAATTGTGAGTTCTCTTAGGTCAAATAAATTAAGCTCTCATTACTCACATTGGGTATTTTTTTCATTTCTGTTTAAAGAGCTTGTAAAACATTTGGTATCTGGACAATTTATGGAACTGGAGGTAAAGCAAACCAAACGGAACTTTTATTTTTCCCACCTAAAAAGCTGAACTGATTTATTTATATTGGAAGACCAAAGTTCTTTCTCTTTTGCTGAAAGAAGATGCTAGTGTTTATGCAATGATTTTGTAAGATTTAAAAAGGCTTCGTGTGTGACTCTTGGGCTATGGGTGCTTTTGTCTTGTCCCATGATTCTTGTTTCACTAAGACCTGAGCCAAGACTATTTCTGGTTCTCCCATCTCTAAGCAAAGAGACCATGTTTGCCATGAAGCAATTCAGGATACAATGAAGTAGATCCTCCAGTGTGTATTTTGAAGTGCTGAAGCACAGAGGGTGTTGACAAAATTTAAACATTTTTATATCCTATTTCATGTCACTAGTTTAGAATTTTATTTGGGTTTTTATTGGCAAAGTTGATCAGATATCAGTCACAGTCAAAGCTGCATTAATCATTTTTAACGCATCTATGGAGGATGGTGTGAATATGATAAAATAAGACTTTTTTTTTAAAATCTGACGAGTGCAAACAGATGACGGGTGACAGTGATATTTTCAGTACAAGCTGGGAAACTGCTTTCTTTTGGATCTCTTACCTCTCCTAACATTTTAACAGAAGAAGATGCAAGACAAAACCTGTCCTCCTATGCCAATCATTTCAGAATACATTTCTCTAAAAATATTAATGTAAATATGTAAGAAAGAAAAAAGAAAAAAAAAAAAAAGGTCAGAGGAAGGAAACTGCCCCAGACACAGTTTTCCTGTTTGTATTTAGAGAACCAAGGATTTTTTGTGGTTTGGTTTTTTGGGTTGTTTTGGGGGTTTTTTTTGGTGGTTTTTTTGGGTTTTTTTTTGTTGGGTTTTGTTTTTTTTTTTTTCAGTTTGGAGCCTTGTGTGATTCTAAATACCAAAGATGATAAAGCTAAAGGATATTTCTTGCAGTCCAGATGGTGGTGTCCACTGGTGCCTACTTAGCTAATAAGGATTAGAGGCAGACTGAGACTTTAATTTGGATATGATTAAACACTAAATGTATGCCCACTAACTTGATGAAATGATGGAAGGCAATACAATCCTTTTCTAAGATGTGAACTAAATTTTTCTATAATCATAGTCTGGGTTGCAGGATAGGTGTAAAAATGTGGGAATCATACAGAATAGACTAACTTCTGGCATGTGACTGTTTTGCTTTGTCTCGTGTGTTTTCCCAATGCTAAAATATGATGGTGTTATTCAGTAAACAAACTGAATGCCTTCCTGTGCAACTTTGGGCTTTGTTGTGAATCCCTTGAGGGCTCCAAGAGTGCCATGATAGCAACAGATATACTAGTGCACACAAGGTATGTCAAAGACGGGCTTACAGCCCTTTCCACATCTTCTTTGATGGCTAGTATTGCCAGCAGTTGGTTGCTGTCAGTCATCCACCAGAAACAGCCCAGGAAAGTGTTTTTGTCCATGTCCTAATCCCCGCTTCACCTACTTTTCTGCCTGTGTTGGCAGGATCAGTTGTTTTCTCTTGGTGTTTTATAATATTCCTACTTCTTGTACTACCTGAGCATTTTTGATGCAAAATTGATAGGACTGCAAAATGTCAGTGAAAGTTTACTGGGTACTTTACTTCAACAATGTATGGTATAGCAGGCTTGAGGAATTGATTCTGCCTAGACTTAATCTTCTAATTTGTTCTAAATTTGCCATGAAATGCATAACCAATTCACCTCTAACCAATAAGAAAAGGCTCTTTAAAACATACACAGCTAAAGGAAACTTCTGATTCTCTGTGGTGACTCATGCTACAAAGTATTTCCATTGTTGGAATAAAAATGGAACTCAGGAGCTTGTTGTAGAAAGTTAATTCCCAGTGAGCAATTATCTATGTGACAAACCAACCTTGTAATTGGCACTTCTGTTGGCAATCTCCATAGAAAAGGGAAGGATTGACAGAACCCAAAGGCAGTGTCTTTGGGGGGAAAGTGTATTGTTAGCATATTGCATGCTGATTCAAGGATGAGAAAGTGCTGGACTCTTCAAACACAGTAGTGCCCAGGGCATCTTACTCCAACAAAAACAAACAAACTGACCCAATAGGTTCCTGACGTTCATGGCTGAGAGTAAAATCCTGAAAGTGTAAACCCCAAACCCAGTCAGTGGAGGGTGCTGGAGTCTGCAGACAGCTTGTGGAAGGTGTTAGTGGGGTAAGTGGTGAAAATGTCTAAAGGGAGTTTTGCTGCCTGAAACACATGGCTGATGTTTTAACACCGATGGCTGTTCTCCCAGGGCTTCCTGCCAGCAGAGGATTCTCTGTGCAGTGAGTGTAAGCAGAGGTAAATTTAGTCTAGGCTTATCCCCTCTTTCATGGAAAACCAACTTCCATTTGAAAAAGGAAAAGAAGGAAAAAAAAAAAAGTGAGAAGTAAATATTTTTGGCTGAAAATAGGAAATGGTTACATTAATCTTTGCTGTACCCAGTGATGAAAATGAATATTGGCGGTAGGATAACAGTCTGGATATCTCTAGGACTGCTACCACCCCTGTTTCTCTGTAGAGAAAGGCACCCCTGACAAACCTTGTTGCCCCTCACTGAAAGGAAAAGAAAGCCTTGCTCCTACCTCTTGCTTTGGATAGCGCGGCGAAGGGGAGAGAGAGAGAGCACACGCATGCTGTAGGAGCTCGAGTCTTACCATGCTCAATCTGATTTTGGCCCTGCCTATGCTGTTGCTTATTTATAATACAGGATTTTCCAAAGGCTTTGTGTCGTTATCCTGGCCTCACTGTTTAAACACTGGCAATTATTAAAAGAAAAAGAGAGGAGACAGAGCAATGGTCTTTGACCCAGGCCATGGAGGAGACCAGTGGTGAAGTGGGGGCAGAATCCAGATCTCTTGCTTGCCGGGCTGCCCTCCCACCCTGATAAAACCAACCATTCCCACTTTCAGTGCTTCAATATGGTGCCTTTGCTAGCGTTAAGACAGTTTCAAAGGTCCATTTTACTCCGTTCTCTTAGAAGCTGCTAAATTCCTTTTTTTTTAATTTTTTTATTGCTCAGTGCTATTTTTAAGTACATATTTTCTGTTCAGGTTTCATTGTAAACGCCGTTCCATTAGGAAGCTCCTGCTGCTCATATAGTTAGGCTAGCCGATGTAAATAACCTAGCAGACAGTGTGAACTCTGCTTTGACAAGCTGTAGCGCCGAACCCCATGCGTGCTTTCTCTTTCATCAGATAGACGCACTCTCTCCGTGACTTCTATTGGCCACTGGGGGATGTGAAATGAAAAACTACCTGATTGTGAATTATGACAGTAAAAGTTTATAAGCTACTAAAATGAAGTTATAGCACCTAGGAGCTCAGTCAACTGACAGTGTTAAATGATACGTTTTAAAACTCGCTCTAAGATAGTACTACAAAAGGAACCGCGCACACAGAGGTGAGGTGGTGCTGCTCTGTGACAGGCAGAAAGGTAACGTGGCACGAAGCAAACTGCGGAGGAGTTAGGGAAAACTGCTGCACCGATGGCAGTTGTTCTCTGTTAATCCCAAGAGAGCTAAAGGTAACTGCTTTGAAAAGAAATGTGTTTACAACTGCAAGATGTGGAGGGAAGAGAAAAATGTAAATATATGTATGTGGTGGGGTGGGGTGTAATCTTTTGACTGCTGGCTCTCCTGGGCTGTGGAACTGCTCTTTTTCTCCAATTAGAAAATTTTGACAAGCTAAAAGAATGGCATTGGATGGGTAAAGATGGCATTAGTGGCCAAAAGATCGGTTAAGGCTGTCAGGTTTGTACAGCACAGCTATGGCAAAGGTGGCTGTTTTTCCTCCTCTCCCTTTTAGGTCATCCAAGTGGTGAATAGCCACTCTGTTGAGATGGCTAGGATTTGATACTAGACTTTGAGGGAGCAAAGAAAGGTGACTTTGGGCACATTGATGCTGGTGGTTTAGTTCAGATCAGGAGTGCTTTTTTGATCTGAATCTCCTGATCACCTCTGATTTGCATCACAGCATGATCTTGGAATATGAAAAACCTGCATTCCTTTTGGCTGGAACTAAACCAAAAAAATGCTTGTGCCTGACGTGTTCGAGCTGTTAGTGGGAACTGGTCTATGTGAACCCCCCCTGAGCTGTGTATAGTGTGGACATCACGTTCTCAGCACCAGCTGTTTCACGCTCTGCGTTTGCTCCTGTTGCACTTCACTACTTGCTAATGAAGACAGTCTCTCTTCTTCAAAGGCAATAAATATCCTGTATTCCCAAATAATGTAAAAAGGTCGTTACAGCACTGTAGATCTCTCTCTGATATTCTATATCTACTGTAACTTCTTTTTCACCTTGGTTTTGTGTTTTTGCTGTAGTTGATTATGGTACTTCAGGTACTGATTGTCTTCAAATGCAGGCTGACTGGGGCTGGCTTTCTTTTTAAGCATCTTGATTTCCATAGTTATTTACTACCTGAGCTTGGTTGCAGGCTGGTTGCAATGGACATCAAAAGCAATACAGTTGCAAACTAAAGCACACAAAAATACAGGCAGGGAAGACTCTGCATGTATATAGGTGGTACTATCCTCTGCTGAATGGAGTTTAAGCTGCCAAAAAGTCCCAGACACTATTGCCAAAAGCCTTGGTAGAAAAAGGTTTGATTCATGCAAATAAATGCCGTGTGCAAGACAAGGACACGTTGCAGGCTCATGGCTAAAGGCAGCTATAAAGAAAGGTGAAGTAAAATGTCAGGTAGCATCTTGGTGATGGAGCACCGTCCAAGGCACTGAACAAAGGCTTTTTCTGCATGTTTTGGCGTTTGGTTTGGTTTGTTTTTTCTTAAGAAGGGCCTATTAAAAGCATGAGAGATGTGAAAAAGGATTTCTACAGACCACCTTAACTCTAGCTCTTCCTAAAATTTTCACATTTGACATTCATTTAGCTACGTGCACAGGATAATACAGAGGGAAGATGGCCCAATCATTACAGTAGTAGCTGTGCAGAGTTAGGTTTTCCAGTATGCTTCAGATTTGTTAGGAAAGTTCTTTAGTTTCTCTAGATCTCTATCGCCTGTCTGCAAAGCAGAAGCAAAGTACAATGTAGACTCAAAAAAACATAAATGCTGTGAGAATGAAGTCTGTGTAAAGAGCTACAGGGGGGTTCAAAGCACCTGCTGTGATTGTGTCCTACACAAAGTTATCTTCGTGTCTTTCATATAAGCCACGTCTCATCCTGCAAGGTAAACTAATTCTGCTTCAAATATCTGCTGTGCCAGGCAACTGGTTTCCACACTTGCTGCATGAAGGTAAATTGGAGAGATTCTTCTTCTTCTTGGCTTCCTTAATGACAGTGAACACCCTGGGGTTCTGGACCATTGCACACAGGTATGTGTGAGAAAATGAAAGCTTGATGTTTCATTTGTAGATATGGGTAGAAATTCTTGCAAAACCTGTAAACTAGTGTGTAATAAAGAATTGGTAGTGATAGATCATATGTTATCGTTCAGGGTTCAGACTTCAGTATTTTTCATCTGCCTTGAGGAGAGAGATTTCACAGTAAAAATTATGTGGTAAGGTTATAAAAAAAAAAAAAAATGGTGTAATTATCCTTAAATATTTAAGAGGTCTTTATTAGTATGAAAATGCCTTGAAGAAAGAAGAGCATCCTGTTCTTTACAGAAGGACATCAATATGTTGGTATGGAGTTTAGATCACAGCACCAAGATGTCTCTATCATAGAACTGACCTCCACTGCACTTGGCTTTGTACCAATACGTAGAAAACATTGCTGTTGTCTCAATGAGTTTACATCTGTAGTTTAGGACAGTAGGCAAAGGGGCTGCAAGAAAACAGCAGACTGCTACTGGTTAATGCTGTATGCAGTGGTTTCAACAGAATAACCCTGAAATACTTTCTGATACTCTACTGGGCAATGAGATAAAAGCAACTTTCTGCTGGATACAATGGAATTGCCCCAGTTAGCCCCCGCATAGGAAGCAATTTTAGGCCACCTGTAGAGCCTAGGTTTAATGCCTGCATATTGCCTGCAAAATGCAAGGAACTCACAACTGCAATCCCCTTTTACATCCACAGTGGTTTGAAAGTTGGTCTGCCTCTTGTATTCCAGAATAAATTATTTAACCACAATTAACTTTCTGTTGTCAGTGTTATAAGTAATACTTGTAGCTAAGAACAAGGGAGGGGAGCAACCTGTGTCACCATGAGTGGGGAAAGGTCACATGCAAGTGGCATTCTCTCTTAGACATTGGGCTGCAATTCTATGGAAATCCTTCAGAAACCTTGACAAAGTAGTGATTTGATAATGACAATAATAGAAAATTTCCAAGGGCAGTGTACTTCTAGAACTCTTGAGAAAAAGAGTGCACTAACTTTGCGGCACCAAAGATTACTATAGTGTCTTGTCAATTATTTCAATGTAACCTGAGACACAAGTGTCTATTTATTCTGGTGGGTAGTTCTTGATTCTCTTATTTTAAATGTGACCTGAGTTATGACTGAAATGTTTCTTCTGCATGTACTTTGTTTCCCTTTTATAAAATGGGATTTTTTTTTTTCCTCTGTAAAATGCAGTTTTCATTTGTAACACTTACTGCTGAAAACTAAAAGGTTTTGGTTGTCAAAAAGTGGCCATAAAATTGGGTTGAGCTCACAAATAATTTTGCCACAATTTAACATATTTTATGAGGAAATTTGTTGACCTCCAGTCTTCCTAAAAAAAAAAAAAATTGTATTTCAAATTGGTATTTCACTTCAAAATGAAGGTACCTCATTTTTCAATAAGACAACCAAAACCTACATGAAATATGTTTTTCTGAAGTCAAATGCAATTGCTTCATTTTGTGCTGGATAAGAATTCTTCCAGAGTGGAGAAAAAAGGGTGAGGACTATTCAGATAAACACTGATTTAGGGGTGGGGGGAAATCAGGCTTTAAAACTCTGAATTAGAAAAAATAGACTAAAAATTTCTCTGAGGAAAAAAGCATGTTTCTTTTTTAAATTTGTTAAAATGACACATTACAGCTCTTATTAACACCTACATCCCATTTGGCACTTCTCATCCTGAAGTTCTGAAAGATTCTAGGAAAGCACATACCACTATTTTATTCTTTTGGCTGCTTAGAAGTCCAGGACCCAGAAGGCCCTGTAACTTGCAAAATATTACCTAATAAACAATGGGTGAAGCTAATCCCAGAAAGGATGATTATTTCAGTATTTTCCTTCCCTATCCTCCCTCCCAGATACAGCAATCTGAATCAGGAATACACCAATGAATTCAGAGGAAGTCTTCCTGAAGAAAAACTTCTGAAGCATGAAAAAGCCATCAAGCATTATGATAGTGTCCTGGAAAGTTCTCCCATTTTGTCTCCTATGGAGAAAACCTGACAAAATTTCACCATTGTTTGAAATTTTAATTGTGTTACCAACCAGCTTTCTAATGATAAATTACCTAGCATACTTAAGTGGAACTGCCAGTGTATTTATGAATTATCTTAGGAATAATAATGTTATTTATAAGTTTACAAAATAGCAGTTGTCGTAGGATTTGGCCTCGTAGGATGCTGCACTGTCATAATGCACGTCGAGGACTATGAGAGCTCACTGCTTGGCATGGATCGTGGAGAGAGGTTTTTAATCTCTATAGGGAAATAAAGAGGTATCCACATGTATTTGTACTTAGTAATGGTTCAAAATTAATAAACTCATGTATACGTTTGTTTGCAAATTACTTTGTGACAGTATCATTTACAAATAATTTTGGAGTCTGGTATTGGCTGGTTGATGCTTGCAAAGGCGGGAGACTTGTGTACTATTCTTGGCTACGCTACTTATCTGCTACCCAGCCTTCAGCAAGTTGCTTCTTTACCTTAGTTTCCCCATCAGTAAAGTGGACACAGCCATACTAACCTTCTTTGCAAATTGCTTTGAGATCTACCAAAAATATACTAGAAACTATATACCAGAAACTATATACCAGTAATAAGTCCATAAAGTATGTCATGAAACATTGATGCTGAGGCATATAGTCTCTTACTTGGCAGAACTGCTGTCAGATTTGTCATTCCTAAAGGATGATATACAGAAAATTGCTAGTAGGAGAACTGGAGACTAGAACTTATTTACATCAAAATTACTAATTGTAGACCAGTTGAAGGGGGTGAAGGGAGTTAGGAAAAGAAGACTGGGAAAGGGTAGATGCAGTTGGAAATGGGAGAAAAAATTATTAGTAAAATGCATTCCACTTTAAAGATCTAAACAATGTTAAACACTCCCCAAATTGGCTGACTTGGGTATAGCGAGCGATGCTAATCTAGCATTTAACTTTTTTTTTTTTTTAAGTTTTTTGCTAAAGAGAGTGAGTATGGAAGTGGGGTCTTTATGTGATAAGGAAACATATTGAACCCAAAAACTAAAGGAGCACTTTGATATCAAGATGTTTGTATTGGAAGTGGTAGTCAAGCCAGAATGCTTGTTAGATATGAGGAATGCTCTACCGCAGGAGAAACTACATTAAAGTCACTGAAGTGACACAGAGGGTAGTTTGTGAGCTGAAACTATGAAAGAGCTGGCAAAGGAAAACATCTCTCCACCATTAACCATATTTAATGCTGTAAGCTGGGGTTGAGCATTGCAGGAGGGGGAGAAAAATGTAGTAAATACATCTAAGAAGTAGGAAGGCAGGCAGTCAGGAGCTGTTAGTTTGATCTCACTGGTATTTAAGGTTTGGTTTTTTTTTTTTAAATTAAAAGAGAATATTTAAAGTTATGAGATAAAAGGAAAATTGACTAAAATGCAACACAAATGTATCAAAGGTAGATTTGCCAGACTACCTTAATGTCTGTGTGCAATGAGAATTCATTTGCTAAACAAAGCATAATAGACATGATCTGCCTTGATTTCAGTAAAACATTTGACATGTCCCATGGGAAATAACTTGTGAAGATGGAGATCAGGGTCAGAAGAGCTACAAGGTGGATGAGGGACCTGTTAAAGCCCAGATGGCAACAGATATTGTAGAAAGGGGAGGTACCCATCTGGAAGCTAGTTTTTTGTGGAACTTGTTTAATATCTTCCTTTGTGGTAAAAGAGAATGTGATCCTAGGATGCACTGGTGAAGATGGAAGAAGTAAGTATATCTTCATACAGGTTCATCTGAAATGGTCATCCATGTCAAAGGTGTGCTTTCTGACTGGTGTGGGATGTCATGCCTTGATGGCAGAGCTGAGTGTACAACTCTGCTCTGTAAGAAGTGGTGTTGAGGGAAAAAAGGCTGCTTGCTTGCTTTGCCCTGGCTCTTGCCTTGCCAGCAAGAGAGACCCTCTTTCTCCAAAAGTGACTGCATAAGCTGGGCTGGTGCTGGGGCTGTGAGAGGGAGACACAGTGGCAGTGAAAGGGTGAAGGACCTAGTCCCCAAGGGCACCGGAGAATGGGAGGCAGACTAATTTCCACATATTTGAGTAAATCTGTCCATCCCAACTGACAATTATTTGCTTGTAAGGTATTATTTTCTAAATGGTATTTGTATTGCAATAAACCCAGCTTTAAGCCACGGAAACTCCTAGTTTCTTTCCATAAAGAAAAAGTGAGAAATTCCTGAATGCTTGACTTGACCTTTGTCTCGGCACAGAAAAACTGCAAAGATGCTGGCTGGAGTATGCTGACAAGAGGTATGTGGTCTCTGTCAATGCATTTGAGAGTTATACACAAATGGAAAAGAACTATGCAATAAAAGAGTAAAAATCTAAGATGTGAGCCAGTGACTATAATTGGGCTGGAGTTGCTTTTAACACCTAATGATTTTTTTTTTTTAACTGCAAAAATAAAAGCAGTTTGGAACCATTTACATCAAGAACAGGAAACCTAACTTTCTTTTAAGATAAAATGTTTCCTCTGGTGCATGCTCAGGCTGAATGATCTCAAACTTCCTAAGACCCTAAGACCTTTTTTCTCCGCCCCCCCCCGCCCCCGAAATCAAAATGTGAGAACAGATGACAGCAGAGAACGGAATGCAGCTATTGCAATTTAATTGTCTGATGAAGATCATTCTGCAAGAAAAAGAGGATTAGTTAACTCCCTGGACAGGACCTCTCTGTCATGTAATCATGCAAGAAAGGCTTTAAGCAATGGAGAAGGAAGCAGTTGAGTAGCCATCATAAAGAGGTATTCTGGAAGATATGGGTTAGAATGGGCTTTGGGATGAATAGTTGAGTACTGAAAACTCTCTGCCTTAGTCACATGGACTAGAGGGAAGGCTTTTTCTATCAGGTTTAGTTAAGAATTTGGCCTTTTGGATGGATGGCAAAAGAAAAGGGGTACTGATTGCTGGATTTTGGCTTATTTCAGCTGGTGGTGCAGAGGAAGTTATATGTAAAAGTCTATCAATCACGCTCGCTGTTGTGACAGAGCAATTTAGCAGTTATACCCAACAGGCAGGGATGCTTCTTGAACTGCAGCATCTGGGACTCCATACAAAGCTGATGGAATCCTTTGTACTTTCAGAGCACTGCCTAAATTTTATAAATCTTGTATCAGCACACAGTGAAATTAATATAAAGGACTCCATAGGTTTGGTCTTGACTTTGAAAGAAGTTGCTTTTTACATCTGGTTTAATACATTAGAAAAAATGAGGGGACAGAAAAAATAAGGAGATGTGTGAATATATGAAATAATATAAGAAGCAGCTGGAAAGTGTTAGAATAGCCTTCTTTTGTTCAGCATTTTGTTGATCTATGGCAGTTTTCATGAGAGATAGCAAAACATTCAGATCTGATTGCCTGTGTTTGAGGTCACCTGTTGATGTTTCTTTGCACAAAATAAATCTAAGATATGCATGTTTTAATCCTGACCATAAAGGATTATAGTTTTGAAATTTATTGTGGAAAAAGTTGTCTCCTAATTGAGGTTAGGAGTGACCAGAAACATACTAGTTCAGTCTTGTACTTTGAGTACTGCCTAAATTTTGTAAATCTTGTCCCAGCACACAATGAAATTAGTATAAAGGACTCTGTAGATTCAGTCTTGACTTTGAAAGAAACTGCTTTTGTGCTGTCTATCAGCTCTGGTTATAACTATTTCAGTAGGTGCTGTGCTCAGCAGAGGTCATTACTAACCCCGAATAGCCATATGTATTGCTGATTACTGCCGGTACAGTTTTGGGGATTGTTTTAAGGGTTAAATGTCTGGTTTATACTGTATTCATGTATGCACATACAAAAAATACAAGTTCTGTCCCAGGCAGTTCATTGAGCACCTCAGTTAAGTCTAAATGCATGGGACACCATTTTGAGTGAGGGAGGGTGAAGAAAGCTCGATGGAGAGGATTAAGATCTCCATCTGTTAAGTTTGCACTGATGATAAAACACATGCTCCCAGTTGGAACAAGATGCATTAAAAGAGCAATTTCACTTCTACTGCCTAGCAACAATGTCATTGAGCACCTGCAATAGTTTAAACATTAAGCATAATTGGCTTTGCTTGACATAAATCTGTAGTTTTGTAAATAAGAGCAGTTGAGTTTCCATGTAATACCAATTAGCTATAAGGAATGCTTTGTTTGCTGAAGCCTGCAGCTTTGCAGAGGAAAGAGGGAGTTGTTAAGACTCAGCAGTATTAGTCAGAAGGTAGAACCCAGATCAGACATTACATAGGCTTTGAGTGTCCTTGTGCAAGTTATGTAATCTCTTTCAGTCAGGTTCCCTAGGTATGAAAGGAATAATAACATTCAGAAGGCTTTTTTTTGGTAAAGAACCTTGAGTGTGTCTGACTAAAATACCTTGGTGGTAATTTTACAGCATTAAACTGAGCTGTCTGGGTCTGCGCTCGATTTCTTTCCCCTTCTTTTAGTTGGAGCTACTGTTGCATCTTGAAAGTTCCTGTAAATTTTCTAGAATCGCTTGCTTTCTGCCAGTGATGGAAGAAAGAGGTGCGTGACCCACTTGATATGAAAATCAGTCTTGTTCAGCTTCCGTGGGAACTCTGAGTTGGAAAGCTGAGGTAGGAGAGTGCCTATCTTGAGGCCCTAGACCAGAGCTGCAGAGCAGAACTAAAGCTTTTAGACTTCAGTGTGGTGTCTGTTTGCTATAACATGTACTAGATTTGCCTTGGCAAGCACAAATACAGCTACCTTCCAGAGGATGTTTTGAAAGACTGCTTTTATTTCATCTTTAAAAAAAAAAAAAATAAAAAATTCACAAGTTTCCTCATCATGTCTCTGTTCTGAATAGAATAAAAATGACCTTTGCCTTTCTATCTACCTGGTCTTTAGAAAGTCTCACCACAGAAGTCGTATTCTGTTGGTGTAGTACTTTAAATTCTTCTAGTTTCAGTATCTGTCTGTAACTGTAAGTATAGATTTCCTTGATTCAGAGAAGGTTGACAGCTGAAC